CTCCCAATGAATCAAGAGCAGTGGGGCTAGCTAGCAGAGCTGCACCAGATTGGAGTCTTGGTTGCAAATACTTGACAAGGATACTGGCTGCTGGAAGAAATTTATGGCGGTATGAAAAGAAAAGAAAAAAAAAATCACAGCTGGAGAAACAGTTTAAAAAAACAGGAGGAATTCTTGTTGCCTCAGAAGGCAAAGAATATCTTCAGGCCACACACCAGGGTTGGCTATAAAAGCCTCAGCTACGCCAGGCCCGCACAACCTCCTACACAGGCACTATTGCAATGAGCCTTCAACAGTACCCCGTGTTTCTCCATCATTCCCTCACTTCCAGGAAGGAACTGACAGTTCAAGGTGGAGAATTCCGGGGAGACAGGACATCCATACCCTAAACAGAGGGGAGTCACGCATCCACACTGGTCACCAAGGAACCAGATTTCACCCATTTAAAACAAAGTAAGGCATTTCTAGGGAATCCTGGATTCAGCAGACTTCACAGACTGCGTGTCACTTGCAACAGGACAGTGTCCACAAGATGAGACCCTTATAAACCACCATTGGGAAACAAGGTGCACGGAAGTAGGTAGAGACATGAAGTCTACCATTAGTTGTCCCTCTGATGCTCTGTGAAGGTCAAAGAGCAGACATCGCCTTTAACACTTCTTCCCTAGCTGACAGATGACAGGACACCAGGCAGTAGCTGCTGCCACTTCCACCTGGGGTTTTTGCTGCTGAGGCAGAGGAGCAGCCATCGATCTGGCAGTGTTTAATCAATAGGAATGCCAACTCCTGCATGGCCTACCTGAAGAAGCCCCATTTCGCTGTGGAGCAAAGGAACAGAGAGGCTTAACTGTGAGAAAGAGGGAAAGAAGAAGAGTCAAGTGAACCTTATTGTATAACATTACAGCCCTTTACTCGCTGGACTCAAACCCCTGTTCTCAACCCGCTGCAGACCGCTTACCACGTCAGGGAAAATGGTGTCTCCAGCACCTTTCTCTCAAAAGGCTGACAAAACAAGCAATTCAAAGCCAGAAACAGAAGCTCATTTCTGACAGAGCTCGAAGTATCAGCAGCCTAAACCTCAACACAGGCAGGCAGTGGATGGGGAGGGGGTGGTGAATGTGACAGAGTAGAGAACAGCCGTGCCTCAGTGTGCAATGGCAGCAACAGCAGAGGAGCGAGCCACAGCCTCCAGGCTATTAGTCAATGCATCCCCTGGCTACTGTGAAGGGCCTGGGTGGCAGAAATGGGAAGACTACAGTATCAACAGCAGTTCTGTCCTGAGGGGCCTCACCCTCCTCTAAGGAGTGAAAAGCTATAACGAACAGGCATGTGCTCTGGAAGCAAAAGCACTTTAGAAACAGAGTACAAAGAGATGTTACATAAAATACATAACAGAGACCTTCCCACTCACTCCCTCACTCTGCTGGTGCTAAGCGATTGTAGCACTATGTTCCCCAAACAAGAGACTGAGGACCCATTCTCTCATGAATTGAAAGTGTCATCTGAGAAAGTCCTACAGATGCAGCACCAGAACCCTTGAGAAGTAGGCTGGCAGGCTGCTCACTTATTCTACATCACGGCCCACCCAGAACCAACCTGCATTCACATGCAGACACACGCACAGCTTTCTATACATGGACAGAAAGGTTCATACATAACTAAGCATTAGGGCAAAAATCCAACCAAACAGACTAGAGGCTGTGGGGGCACCTCAGCTACAGACCCAGGAGGTACAAGGCCCTCAGCCCAATCCAAGCACCAAGACAAGTGTGGGGAAGAGAGGGAGAAAGAGAAAAAGAAAAGGGGAAAGGGAGAGGAGGGGAAAAGGGAAAAGGGAAGAAAAATAGGACAGAGAAAGGGGAAGAGGGAGAAGAGATCAGTGTGAATGAGGACCAGAGTTGCTACAGAAGAAAACTTCAAAGAAATTACATTGAGTATCCTCACTGAGTTCTGACCTTGCATTATGCCATAAAACATAATATTGAAAAGGGAAAGAAACAGAACAAGAAAAGGGTGTATGTGAGATGTAATATACCCCACAGGGATTAAGACACACATTGAAGAAAAAAAGTCAAGAGGCAGATAATAGAAGGAAAAGATAAAAACACCACAAAGTTATTCTTAAAAGTCCAATATACAAATTAATGGGGACAAGGAGAAAATTTTCAAAGGAAATAGTAGGAAAGTATGTGCTAACTGTAAGCTGCGCTTACAGTTTCTTGAGCACTCAACAGTGAGCTTTAGAAAATACGCCATTCATTGGTGATTCACCAAGCAATTGTGGAATGGACAAGTGTGCAACAAACCTTCCAATTCTGCATCACAGAACCCGACAAACACCCCCACAGGAACACGGAAATGGCCTTGGACATCTGAGTTACATCCCTGGAAACCAGATGATAATGAAGCAACAGTCACAATTCTTCCCCACCTAGAATTCTATGTCTAGAAATGACTCCACAAACAAATAAAACAAAGGCCTTTCAATACCAGCATTGTCCCAAGGAGAAACAGCCACAGGCTTGTGTTAGGCTTTACTGCAGTTTTCGCACTGCTGCAATTTGTTGTTGAATATTGGAATATATTCCTAAGTAAATGTGGTTATGTTACATGTAGCTTTAACACCCATTTCCCTTTTCCTTTCTTTTGCTAATGATTTATTACCATACATCTATTTTACATCATAATACAGAAACAAACGATGTCAGATACAAAGCAAATTCAGTTTCTTATTTGAATTCAGAATACATGGTTAAGGAGTAGAGACACCGCTGAACATGACAAAACACTTGTCTGGGAATTGCTAATAAACATATAGTTGAGTATTGTTTCAACAAGCTTTGCAAAGGAGACCTGGGCCTTGATGATGAGGAACATAATTGTGGACAATGACCAGTTGAGAGCAACTGCTAAATTTAGCCGATCCTCTTATCAGAGAGAAAGTCAGTGTGGATCATTCGGTGGCCATTTAGCACTGAAGCAAATCTGAAAGGTGAAAAAGCTTCCTAAGTGGGTGCTTAGGAACTGACACAAATAAAACAAAACAGCAAAACAGAGAGAGAGAGAGAGAGAAGGAGGGAGGGAGGAAGAGACACGCTTGTCATTTTGAGCCATTGTCCTCTCTTAATTATATGAAGTAACAACAAATCATTTTTCAATTGGATTGTGATGTGTGATGAAAAGCGGATTGCAATACAACAACTGGTGATGACCAGCTTAGCATTTGGATTGAGATGCTCCAAAGCATGTCCGTAAACCAAGTTTACAGCAGAAGAAGAGGCCACAGTTGCTGGTGGTCCCTGCCACCGAAAAGGTAGCTCTGCAAATGGATGAGACATATGGCAAGCTGCAAGTCTTCCCGGCACTGTCCACAGAAAGGACCCATTTCCCTACATCAGTGCCGTGCCACCTGTCACACAAACAATGCTTCAGAAGCTGAGCGACCTGGGCTCCATCGATCACATTAACTTGACTCTCACTGCTTCAAGGATCTTGACAACTTTTTACAGACAGAACACTTCTAGGAACAGCACAATAGGGAAAGTTTTTTGAGAATTCATTAAAACCTGAAGCACAGATTTTTACACTACGGGAGAAAGCAAACTTTTCTTATTGGCAAAAACGGCTCAGTTACGGTGCTTTTAATTTTGACTAATAAAGATACACTTGAGTCTAGACACAATGATTTAAAATCCATGCTCTAACCCGAAATTCCTTTTGGGTCAACCCAATCCTTGTAGCTTTATTCTGAGCTGCAGCTGATACTTATTTCAACTAGTCCCTCACTTTGGTCATCAAGCCAGACAGAACATAAGCACTGGCCATCAAGAACAGTGTGTGCCCTTTGCTTCTAAACACTTCTCCAAGAAAATACAAACTCATGACATTACAACAGCAGCTCCTACCTTTATCTTCACGTGATAACTTATATAAGAAGAGCTTTGGAAATGGTCACAACCTTCGCTCAAAGACTAGGAAACTAGAGCTGACGTGTGGCTCTGAGGCGGTGTGCCTGCAGATGAGGGGCACAACTCCTGGGACTGAACTAGGAAAGCTGAGACTGTGAATGTGCACATGCAGTCCCAAATAGGCAAGATCAGGAGTTCAGTATGTTTAAAGATCATTAAGGATCAGTATGGCTTAAGTTGACAGGAAACTTTCCATAGGTGCCATGGACAACACGGGGCAGGCATGTGTCACGGGTGCGGGACCCTGCTCATCACAGGACCTTTACGGCTGTGCACAGGTAGTCCTCAGCCTTCCGCTCTGAGTTCCCACTCTCCTCTCTGCCTCTACAGCCACCAAACATACTATCACCCCCTTTTCAGACACTTAGAGCATCTGTGACATGCCACAATGTAGCTCTTCAAAAGGACCGTGGTCCCCAAATAAACATGCATATACAGAGTTTAAAGCTGTGGCTAACGTCAAATCCCACCCTACTCAGTAGGAACAAGCTCCTCAGATTTGTTTTTTAACCTAAGAAATAAGCCAGGTGGATAACCAGACAAAACTGACTGTACTTTCTCATATACTGCCCAGCAGGAAGGCACCAAAACAGACTTTAGATATTCATGGCAATCCCTCAGTTGATAATCTTTTGTGAATATGAACTGCTTTCTAATCAGCTATCAGTGGGGAATAACGATTCAAGAATAATTATCTCTTCATGCTGGCCCCCAATGTTCTAATGAGGAGATGTGCTTGAAAAGTCAGAACACAAAAAACAGATGCTCTCCACTTCCCTTCCAAAGCAAAGAGGGAGAGGATGGATGACTGACAGACACCCTTGAACTCCATATTACATGCCACACAATTCTCTAACACCCCCGACTGATGCTGAATTTGGAACTGCTCTGAGCTCTAATGTGCTAGGCCTATGACCCAGAACATGTGCTGCAGGAAGTTACTGCCTTTACTGTAAAGGGCCTAAAGGCACTGGAGGTTATTCTGCTATAGGTAACAAAGGGAAACAGTGTGGGGACAATGTAGCCACTTACTCCACAGTATCGGTCCCCATTAAATATCTGAGGTGGCAGAGGGTTGCCCTGCACAGGCTTCTTCTCAGGGGGGATGTTTTTGTACATCCACTGCCTCTGTTCTTCCGACATGGTGATGTCCACCTCCTCGAACTCTATCTTGTTGGCTTCCAGAAATCTAACCACATCCTGCTGCTTCTTCTTGATCTAGAAAGAAGATAAACAAAGTGAAATGCTTACCTGATGCAGTAAGCCTGTGTTTGCAGATTAAGTTATTCTAGAGTCCCCACAGTCAGGAGATGTGCACAGGTGCCCTCACTGTCTGTCTAGACCAGGACTGTGCCAGTTCTAATGCAGTAGGAAGCCCTACACCCAGATATCCCAGAAGGCTAAGGCTAAACCCTGACAGTCCACAAGGACAGAGGATGATGTGACAAATGAGACGGAACACTGCCTTAGCTCTCAGCAAGCCATGGCCACTCCCCATCTCCCACCCTGCTGGAAGCTGACGTTAACAATCAGGAAGCTCCTGCTGCTTAGCCATTTGTAAGCCAGGCATATCCCATCTAAGATGGACACTTTGGTGACCAATGAGAGCAGCAACATTGTTATTCGTCTCGGATATCCCACGCTATGATCATGACCAGGTAATAATTCTTTTATCAGTTTACAAGAGGAACCGCTGCTCCTCACTTCAAGGTGAGACTGTCTTAACCCTCCCTTCTATCCCCTCCTCACCCATCACAGTTCCCTTTCCAGTCACTAGGGGTCAGGTGTGCTCCTCAGCAGCCTCAGCTGCATTCAACATGTCTCCAAATGTTTGTGACCTTCTCAATGTAATGGCATGGACCCACTAATTTACATATTTACATGGGACGTCAATAGTCAATGTCTTAAACACAGCATTTAAAAAATAAAACATGGCTGCCTTTTCTAAGTGACCGGAGAAGATGCATTTTAAAAATGTAAGAAATAAACAACCCAAAACTTGAAGAAAAAAACCCCACAGATTTCCTCTACTTCTATTTCCAGATACTTCTTAGAAATCACCAGTAGTATATGACTCTGAGGTTGACAATCTGTAACATGCTATAAGCAAACAATTCTGCTCACTGGGTCCATGAATGACTAACAAGATGGAGCAGTTATACAGACACAGATAAAACGCTGGCAAAGCAGCACCTTGCAAGGTACGCGAACCTGAGAATTATCATGTGTAAGTCCAAATAGATAATGAAGCCATCTTCACTTCTGAAAAGATGACTGTTTTCCCTCACATCAAATCCATAATTTCAGAAATGCTCTTGTTTGGTTTAAAACTTTAACCCCAGGGGTAAAAATTACTCACTGAGCTTGAAAACTAGGAAAGTAATTGTATTGCTTCTGCCTTCCAGTTAAGAAAACCAAGGTCAAGAGTGGTTCCCCAGTGTTTAATCAAGGTTTGACAGCTGACGCGCTCTTAAAACACTCAGTACCGCCCTCCTGCCTTACATCTTTCTTTTGTAACCATCCCTCTACCCTGAAGGACCACGCACACTTCTGGGTAGGCACGCTATTTCATGATCCAGCTTCTCGACTACAAAACCCCCTGAATTTTGAGATCACAAAGCAGTGGCCTAATGTCTTACTAATACCAACCCAGGAAACACATGCCAAAATCCAGAGGAGTAGGAAGAGAGTCCAGCTCCTTAAAATTACCCTAATCCTAACAGGGTCCCATAACTAACTGTTGGGGGTGGGGTGGAGGTAGGGGGTGGCAAAAAAAAAAGCAGTAAAAGGTTTTGCACTTGCGACAAATATTAATTCAATATTAATTCAAACCCAACATAGAATGAATCTGAAGTGTTCTTAGCAACACTGACCCCGTGAGGTATGGTATGACATCACGGCATCCTAGGTTCTGTGAAGGCCATCAGAATACTCGGCGCCAACAAATGCTGCCTGCAGCACAGTGGCTGGAGACTACTGTGGTGTTATGAGTTTGTACATGAAATAAACTTAGGTATATTATCTTGTTGGTTATTCGATATATTTGTAACTTTTGCTACCAGAACAGTACCATGCATATGATGACTGATGAAGTTTTGTCTCACACTGCTATTTGGTTGCTATAATAAAACAACACAGACTGGTTGAGTTATGAAAAAGGGAAGTTTGTTTCTCATCTTCTGGAAGCTGAAAAACCCAGGATCAAAGCATTAGCAGAACAGGTATCTGGCCAGAGCCCATTTCCTGGGTCACAGGTGGAACCCTTTTCTATGACCTCACTTGGTAGAAGAGGCAAGGCAGCTCCCTGGGGCACTAATCCCATTCCTTCCCTC